CCCCAAAACCCCAAAACCCCAAAACCCCAAAACCCCAAAACCCCAAAAGAATAAAATAGAGTGAAAAAGAGGTTATAAATAAAAATTCATATTTAATAGATTCAAATTAAGAAAGAAATAATTTAAATTTAAATGACTTAGATTACTGACTCAGTTGCAGAAGCCCTAATTATTGGTGCTTCCCTTATTGGCATCAGTTTTGGGCTCCTCAACGCCCTGATCATTTTAAGAATCCAAGTTATTGGAGCAGATGATGGTGTAATGGCACTTAAAGATAACAAACTGGCAGCAAAGTATCAGTAGATGCAAAAGATTTCAGACTTAATTAGCGATGGAGCAAGTACTTTCTTGCAATAAGAATACATCTACATGAGTATCTTCGTTGTTATTTTTTCTGCAATCATCAGTTTCACTGTAGAAGCCAACTTAGGAGAATTCTGGGTAGTGGGACCATTCATTCTTGGAGCATTAACATCCATCATTAGTGGTTATATTGGCATGAAAATTGCAGTTAAAGCCAATGTGAGAACTTGTAAGAAAGCAATGGACGGACTCCATGATGCATTCGTTGTAGCATTCAGAGGAGGAATGGTCCTCGGTTTTACTTTAGTAGGATTGGCACTTTTAGTTCTAATTCTGATCATTATGGGATATAAACAGTTTTACCTCGACAACAAAACTCACAACTTAAAGACTATGTTCGAATGTATTGCTGGTTATGGATTAGGTGGATCAACTATCGCTCTATTTGGAAGAGTAGGAGGAGGTATTTACACAAAAGCAGCAGATGTAGGCTCTGATTTAGTTGGAAAAGTTATCCAAGATCTTAATGAAGACAGTCCTATGAACCCTGGAGTAATTGCTGATAACGTTGGTGACAATGTAGGGGATATCGCTGGTATGGGTTCAGATTTATTTGGATCTTTTGCTGAGGCAACCTGTGCTTGCCTTGTCATTTCCTCCACTTCAAATGAACTTGTGAGCAACCATGCTCTCTATTATCCTTTATTAATCAGTGCTTCTGGAATTATTGTTTGCCTCCTAACCTCTTTCATTTCATCAAACTTGATGCTTATTGATGAAGGTTACAAAGTTGAGAGAACATTGAAGTATTAACTAATCTTCTCTACTTTATTGATGACTCCAGTCCTCTACTATCTCTCAATGACCTACTTGCCATCAGTTTTCTTCTTCAATGCGGTCGAGGGTGGAAGAGTAACAAATTTTTCAAGTTTCATTTGTGTAACTCTTGGTCTATGGAGTGGTCTAGTCATTGGTTACTTCACTGAGTATTACACCTCTAATGCTTATTCACCAGTTCAAAAACTCTCATAATCATGTCTCACTGGTGCTGCTCCAAACATTATTGGAGGTCTTGCCTTAGGATTTCATTCTACTGTCATTCCAGTCCTGGCTATTGCAGTTTCTATTTTTGTTAGTTTCACACTAGCTAATATGTACGGTATTTCATTAGCAGCATTAGGCATGCTATCTACACTTGCTATAGCTCTTACTATCGATGGATATGGACCAATTTCTGACAATGCTGGAGGTATTGCTGAAATGAGTGAACTTGAAGAAGCAAGAAAGAGAACAGATATTTTGGATGCAGCTGGAAACACTACTGCTGCAATCGGGAAAGGATTTGCTATTGGATCTGCTTGTCTTGTCGCACTAGCTCTATTCGGTGCTTTCGTTACCAGATCAAATATGACTAATGTCAATATCCTTAGACCACTGGAATTCTCAGGATTAATTATAGGTGCTATGCTTCCATATTCATTTTCAGCAATGACAATGAGTGCAGTAGGGGACGCGGCACAAGAAATGATTCACGAAATCGTGAGATAGTTCAAGGAAAAGAGAATTCTTGAAGGAATAGATAGTCCAGACTATGAGAGATGTATTCAAATATCAACTACTTCTTCTCTCAGAGCGATGACCAAGCCAGGTTTACTAGTCATTTTATCTCCCTTGGCAATGGGTTTCCTCTTTGGTGCTAGAGGAGTCTGTGGATTACTAGCAGGTGCTATAGTTTCAGGGGTTTAAATTGCTATATCTTTTTCTAATTCAGGTGGTGCTTGGGATAATGCAAAAAAATACATTGAGGCAGGCAACCTCATTGTTGATGGGGTTGTTCATGCTAAAAGGACAGAAGCCCATAAAGCTGCAGTTATTGGAGATACAGTAGGTGATCCTTTGAAAGATACTAGCGGTCCTTCTATCAATATCTTGATCAAATTAATGGCCATTACATCTCTAGTTTTCAGCGGAGCATTCGAAAGATATGGGGGAATTGCAATGAAATACATTAATTCTAAGACTCTTTGATTGTGAATTGATATTTAGATTTTGGAATTGCAAATTTTATAAGAGATGCTATTTATTTAATGGGGTTTTGGGGTTTTGGGGTTTTGGGG